CATTCTGTGTCCTCCAAAGTCCCTTCTCCCTTTTCCTGAGGTTTTCTCAGGATTACAATGCAGAGCGATCTCGCTGAAGACAGCAACACATACTGAGTAAACATGTGGTCTCTGGCTGTAAAGCTGCAATCTTCTAACATGCTGTCACTATTTTTTTAATGTTTCAAAATTTCACTTTGTAGGAACAGTGAAATTCAGAAATTGTGCAAGAATGGTCTACTTTATCAAACAAGAGGGATGAACTGCCCAACCGCGTCAATTTCCACAACACCCTCCTTTGAAAAAACACTAGGAAACAGTGAATCAAAGGAGCCTCTTCAAATGCTAGGCAGGATGAGGTTGTATCACACTTCTGCAGTTTTCTAGCCTCAGGTGCTTGCAAGATGAGCCTTTTATTATGTCTCATTTGTGGAATTGGACAATGGGTCCAGACAGCATAATCTTGGGCTTGTAACCCTATTGTATCCCCACTTTCTTTTGCCAGAAAAAAATGAGTCAAGGAAAACATGAGAATAATCGCACAGTGCTTTTGGACCATTTCTCTGGAAAAGATGAAATTGTTTAGAAACACCAAGGGGCAAGTTTGAAATTGACTAGAAAAAATTAAACACTCAATGCAAGGTGTTAACATGATGCTGGAAAGGCTCAACTCCAAAGTGCTGCAGAAAGCAAAAGAGGTGGGCCAACACTGCCCATTTGGCCCCCGTGCTCACTGTGCATACAGGGTACCATGAGATGCACACATGGAGAAAGTGCAGATCCCCTAAGGGGTGGATAGTGAGTGGGAAACCTCTTTAATTTAGCGACCTGGTTCACACAATATGACAAACCTCGATGGGCAGGGAACCATGGTTAGTTGTCAAGTCAGCCAAATCCAGCCTGGGTTACCCATGGTGGCTTTTTTCAGTGAAATCACCCTGAAAACCCAAGAGCTGTCCTAGGAGGGAAGGCTTTTTACCCACGCTGAGTTGTTGTGTCAGCCAGACAGACAATGAACCCGGCCATGGGGACTGCCCAGTTGCCAGGAAGGGGCTCAGCAAGAGTGGGGAAAGCCCCTTGCTGTTCTCCCTGAGCTTGTCCTGGCTTGAGTGCAGTTGTGTGTGGCAAAGGAGCCTTGTCTGGGCAATGGCAGGGACGGGAGGGACACCTGCTGCATTTGGTAGCATGTACCAGCACTGCACTTTGACCCAAGAAGGGTTCAGAGATGCTTCTTACCCTTTGGGTTGGCATCTGTCAAGCAATGAACTGTGGACACTGGTGCAAGCAATCTTTGCTTGAAAAAAAGAAGCTGGTGGGATTTACACCTGGTTAATGCAAATTCCTTTCCTACCCCCACCCCCACAATCTTCAGGACAATGCATATTAAGCACCTCCCCCCCCCCCGCTCCATTTCTAAGGAAAAGGAGTTTCAACAGCTTTGTCAGCTAGCTGTCAAACCTCTAGGTCCCTTTTAAAAGAAGCTTTTGGCAGGACAATGGTGCATTTGGCTAACTGCCAAAACTCCTTTTCCCATGGAAAAACGGGGAGGATGCATTTTAGCACTTTCCAACGTACCTATAGTTGTGTGGAAAAGTGCAAAATCTGTGTCACCCCGAGGACTATCACAGTAAAAAAAAGGGAGGAGGAAGAGGGGAAAAAAGAGAATCTTCTTGTGAAGGGAGTGTAAATCTTGTGCAAGGCAAGATCACTTGCTTTTGGTCTGGCTTGAGAGCTCACCTATTGACAGCTGACAAACCAAACAAATGGGGGAAAGTTAGGGTTCCTCACCCCCCCTTCCCATTTCTCCAATTCGTGTGGTTGTGCTTGAGTACAGTTGTGCAAGTGTAGCTACTTTATAAAAAAAGCATAACAATTTGCAAAAATTATGGAAGAAAAATGCAGAAACAGAGAGCCACCGACAGCTCCTCCAACATACAGCTTGGAAGGGGCTGTCAAAGCAGAGACTGTGAAAGACAGCTGTCATGTCTCATTTTGTAATTCCCCACCACCACCCAAAATAAAAAGGGTTAAAGGGCAAATATGCCATGGGGAGTTGATTCTTGATCTTGGCAAGAAAGTAGAGATGATTTGGTCCCTCCTGAGGTGTCTCTATTGGACTGGGAGGCGGGAGCGAACAGGAAGCCCAATCATCTATCAGGTTCTGTGCAAGTTCTTTGCCCTGTGACTACTTGTCAGGCTGGGTTGTCATGATATGTAAACCTGCCAGATGAAAAAGCAATGACTGACAGCACTATGAGCCCTCTGTTTGCAAGCACTCCAGGGATACGGGGAATGGCCAAAACAAACATAACCAGCTAGGCTTTCACAAGTGGAGTGTTGATGGTTTCATTGACCAAGATGCTGCCATCTGAGAGAAATGGAAGACTTATTTCACTGGAGGAATAACAGACAAAGCCTTGCCCCCCCCCCCCCACTTTTCTCTATCTGTGAAGCTTCTCAGATCCCGGTGAGGCTAAATATTATTATATTCTTAGGGGATTGTAGGGGAACTGCAAGTGACAAGGGAAGACATCAGAAGTGTGGAGTTTTGCTTTGAAAGTGCTGACAGCACCAAGGATGTGGACTCAGCTACTCCTGCAGAATTGCTTTCTACCAAGAAGCAAAAATTCTCCTTGGGACTCTTGGCCATCCAAGTTCCAATTTCAGCCCAATGATATCGAATAGGCACACATTCAAGAGGCACTGCCAAAATAAAAGGAAAACGCAGAGCATTGGGCCCCAACCAGAGCTTGAAATTTCTGCATTTAATTCCCTATTACTACCCTTTTCTGCACAAAACACAGCAGGTAGTTATGCGGCACATCCCTCTCTTCACACCCACCCCCTTTCCCCCCAGGCACAGTGATGGTTACTTCTCACTGCATTTTACGATTCCCAATCGTTGTTTTAATCTTTTATGATTTCCACTAATTTGAGAAAGTAGCTTTCCTTCCTATATTTGGGTCATTCATTTCCATGAGTATGTAGCAAGGCAGCCAGTTGTTACTTCAATATACTCAAGCCCACTAAATGAAATTCCTCATTAACTTTGTAAATATATTCAGAAGGGAAATTTAACAGTGGGGGGAAAGAGAAACAAACTGACCTTGCATCTCTGCTTTCATCCTACGGACATATCTAGTCAACTCCTTGTAGGGACTACGGACACTGCTTTAATGTGTTCATCGCTACAGCCTGGATGTATGAGGTGCGTTAGCCTGTCGTGAACCAAAGAGAGTGATCCTGGAGTGTGCTGACCAAGGCCAACCTTCTCCAACCTGATGCTATCCAGATGTGCCAAGGTACAACTCCCATAGTCCACAGCTAGCATACCTGGGTGGCATTAAGGTTGGGGAGGTTGGGGAAGGCTGGCCTAGGCCACTGTGAACTTAACTACCATAAAAAAGCAAAACAAAACAGGAAACCTGTTGTCATCCTGAGCAACAGAAAACAGTGCACAACAGCACAGCACTTGCACTATCCTGGGTGAGTGAAAACAGCCTCAGAATCAAAGGTTATTCTGGGGATGATTAATCAGCCATATATGAGCACATACATTAATGCAATAGGCAACCTGGTGACCTTTAAATTTTCAAACTAAACTCCCATAAGCCTTAGCCAGCATGGCCAATGGTCAGGAGTTATGGGAGCTGCGGGCCAACACACCTTGAAAGCATCATATAACATAATCCATCTCTGTCATATTACACAAAGTAAGGGGTATAAATATTAAAGAAACTGCATTAGGTTTATATATTCACTCTCTCATTGCAGGCTACAAGACTGAATGCCAACATCCAGAGTGAGCCATCTGACATAAATGGTGCATCTCCCCCTGAAAGGTTCAATCAATCGTAACTGGTATTTTACTGTTAACTACTGAAAATTGTTCAGTAAATTCTGTAAATTGTCACAGCCCAACAGTGCGAGCTGTGTTTATGCAGTCCTTGGCAATTGCACCTTTAGGTAGCAAGCAGCAGAAAATGTGCAATGCATGTAGCCAACTTCCCAAGACACTTCCATTTAGAAGTGTTGTTATAAAAAAGGGCTTGCCTTTCCATCCACAAAAGGGTTCTGTGCTCCAGTTCTTGGAACACAGTGCTCAACCAGAAATTGCTTTGCAACCCTGAACTCGGTAACCACAGAGGACAAACGTAGTATGTTGTACTGGATGCAGAATGCAGCTTCCTGGAGAACTGAATCTCATTAAAATCAATTCCTCGTCACGAGAGCTGGAGAGATGAGCGTGTAAGCAATGGCTGGTCAAGTCGCAGAAGCCATGTTCCAAGACAGCATGCTGCTGAACCAAAGTGGATGGGGAGTGACTGCAAGAGCATGTTCTGCTTGTGGGTTTCTGGGGGTGGCCCATGTGGAAAACAGAACACCGCATGACCTGGTCTAGTACTGCGCAACTGATCCAGCAGGACTGCTCCTATGAAACTGCAACCGTTTCACTCTTTTCTGCACTGGTCAGGCTGCATGTGGAGTACAGTTTGGGATGCCCATTTCTGAGGAGGACACTGGCAAACTAAGAGTGAATTTAAAGTAAGGTGACCACAGTGATTAGGGCTCTTTAATCATTTAAGGAATATCTGAAAGATGACTTCAAATATCAGAAGGGCTGACATGCAGAAGATGGGGTAAATTTGTTCTCTGCTGTTTCGAGGGCAGGGCAATTTTAAAAAAGGAAGCAGTGTATACGTGAATACCAAGTTGCATAAAAACAAAAAGAGATGGCAAGTACATAAAGGGCTAACTAGGTTTTGGAATATGAGACAAAAACCTGAAAAAGTGATCTGCTTATCTGGAATAATAATAATAATTATTATACTTTTCTATTGCTCCATAGCCCATTGAAGCCATACTGAGAATTACTAGGTGAAGACCTCAAGTTATACTAAGAGAATGACAGAATGAAAGAAAGAAGGAAGAAATGCTATGAGAAAATGGTAACAAATTCTGTGCACAAACAAGATAAGCAGTCCTATCAATATGTTCAGGAGGACACATTTACTTGCCTGTTTGATATTAATAGATGAAAAGGAAAGTTTGGTTTTATTAAAAATAGTAATTTTGCTTTGAGTTATGTCAATGAAATTGTACCAGTTAGTGACCCAAGCAGCTCTGTCAAATTGAAAACAGCCTGTCTGAGGTTCTGCAATTAGTATCTTTGCAGAACATTTCTAGAAAGATGACCATAGTCCACTACAATGCTAGAAGATTAGGCAACTGTTTTAAGGTAGGTTTCTGTTGGTGCAGTACCTACAATTACTAGGGAATCTTGTAAGCCTCCACAGTATCTACCTTTAAAAAAAAAGGAATTGGAAACATAGACCAGCAGCACTAATGTGTAGCAGCAGGCAGAATCAATTGCTGTCCAAGAAGGTAATTCTCAAAACTGGAGGTAGGCAAAGACTGAGGAGCCCCCAAGCCTACACAGACTGCATAACAGAAAAAAAATAAGGACTGGGGATGTTTGGGAAAGGCAGAGTGGACTGAAAGCTGAAACGGGCAAGGAAGTTACACTCTGTGCACTAAACTTTGAGACAGACCATGGAAGAAGAATGTGGGAGAAAATTGGGGAAAATGGAATTCTTTTCCCTTCTCAACTGAGGCTACATAAAAGTTAGTTCTTGGAAAAATTAAAGAGGCTTCTGTGAGACTGGGAACATCACAACTTAATTTTGGTCAAACTTCCATTTAGGGTGGAGAAACCTGGACCATCGGATATTACCTCTAAGGTCTAAGAGCTGCAGTCAATAGTTTTCTTTATGCTTCTATTACAATGTTGCCTTCACAACTGGCAGAGACGGGCAAATATTTTTTTCCTGTAGCCAGACATTATACATCTTTCCTAAAAGGAAGTCTCCTTTTGTCCTTGGCAGCATTCCTTTTCCTCTTCTTGCTCAGAAAGCTCTCCAGTTTGCCACTCTTCTTCAACTCTTTGTACTTCTCAGCCAGTTCCCACTTCTGCTTATCAGCTGCAAAGCACAAGAGGGAAAGGTGGCCTTAATTCAAGCCAGCACCATTCATGTTACAAACAATTCCCATGGCTAACTCAAGCTCTGCTTCCAGCTCTCCACTCTCTCCAAATGAGTTCTTTCAATACAGTCTCATTATTTATATCCTGCCTTTCCTCCAAGGAGGTGCTGCTCAAGGCATAATGTTTAGTGAAGAATTGATCAAGAACTACCACCTAATTCTTTTGCTTTCTACTGTCCCCCAGCGCAATTAGTAACTAGATTCCATGAATGCAGCACATGGCTTTGCAAAGCAAAGAACAGACACAGCTGAAGTAGCTTCTTCACTTTACAAACAGTAAATGAGATCAGGACAGGCCTGTCAGGGAACCAGGGGTAGAATCAGAAGGACTGTTACCAGTTTCCACAGTCTGTAAAATTGATTCCATCAACTCTGGTCTGGAGTGCTTAAGGGGCTGTGACTATAAAACAGAGATGGGGAACCTCTGGCCTGTGCAGGATGCAGCCCCTGGGGGTTACTGATTAGTTCCACAAGCTTCTCCTGCTCTTATCTCCAATCACTGATGGGAGATAAGAGGATATTCAAAGCATTTAAAATTTAAAAACACTGTGTACATTTGAGTTGTGCTTTGCAGGTGAGAGCGCTATCCTGAACAGACTTGCTTAGAACTGAGCTATGGTCTGTACGCTTGGCAGGAAAATGTCCAAGTTCATAAGAATTACATCTGGCCCTGCCCACTTTGCTTTCTCTATCCTTGGGCCCACTCTGTGCCCCTAGACTCAATCCACCAATGGAATGCAGCCTGAGACCCTTCCAGAATTGGAGGTCAGTCCCTGGGCCAAAAGGATCCCCACTCCTTCTATAAGGAACCCTTCCTTTTACTCTGTTCAAGAGTTATCACAACTAGGATCCAAGTGTCCAGCTGCTGTGGACCAATTTACAGACATCAAAAAAGCATCTTTTATTTGATCATATATACTAATGCTGCCAGGGTAATGTACGAAGGTCAAGGCCCCTACAATCTATATACTTACACTTCTTTAGATAGAATGGCTTCTTTCCTTGCTTGGCCAGCTCCCTCTGCTGCCTCTTCCATGCTAGGTCCTTCTCTCTCTCCTTCTGCTGCTTCCTTTGTGCGTCTTCCTGCTGTGTCTAAGGAGCAAATATGAGAAAAGGGCCAACATGCCTGGGTACACCACTGTCAGATTTCGCCCCTCTTTTCCTCTTGTCTCATTGGAGCTTCCTGCTCAATGGTTCTTTCAATCTTTTGCCTGCCTGCTTCCCACAAAGATAAACAAGCTGGTTCAACTCATCATGACACCAACTCACCATCCGTTTAAGAAGCCTCTGCAACTTGTCTTTCTCTTCCACATTTCGACTCTTCTTTAGTTGTTTTTGAACTACCTGCAGGTGAAAGAGATGGGGAAGTACTGATTGACTCTCCAGGGGCATCATCTTTCACTCTACCACTCCGAGGAAAAGAGGATACTTAGAAAAGGTATTCATAGCATTACCTCTTTCTCCTTCTTCCTGAGGTCATTCAGGAAACTATAGGTCTTTTCAAACACTTCTGGCTTATATTCTCCAGAGAGATCATCAAACCGTGGATCTCGAGGCACCTGTGCGGAAGGAGGCAAGAGCACAGACTTACAGTTGAGCAATGCCAGAAAGCAGCTTCTCGCATCTTGGACAGGATGGGCAGAGAATACCTCTTCAAACATCTGCAGCTTCAACTGCTGGTATTTCTAGCTACTGGCCATGTGAACTATCCCGAGACGTTTGTGATGGGATGGTATACAAGTTTTAAATGGATGGATGGATAGTAAGGGCTTCTGGAAGTAAAAATCCCAAACATTTGAAGACCTCCTTTCAGTTCACCCCTGATCTAGGACCCCACACTAGCTGAATCTGTAACATTTTTGTCACATGTGCTTCCCTCATTTCTCCTGATGCAGTGCTCTGCCACGCACTGCCTACTAAGCTAACAGCCTTTTCAAACATCACACAAAATGTATTATAGTCATGCCTCCTAAGCCAGTGTCAATGTCTTACTCTTTTGACACTTGTTTTTAGTTGTGTATTTCATTCTTCTGTCCACAAACACAAGAGAACTCACCTTCTTTTTAACAGGCACAACTTGTCGCAGAAAGGGGACTGGCTTCTTGGCTGAAATTTCCAAAGGCCTGTAGAAGACAGAAAACGGATTTTCTTGGAATAAGGAACTTCTTGTCACTAAGTGGCTTGACTCTCAGAATTATCTCATCCAATGACTTTTTCTCCACTTCACACTGTGATCACTTAAAAAAAAAAAAATCAAGATACCCTTCAGTGAACTTTTGGAAACCAGCAGCTGCTATACGTAAGTGAATGGAAGTGGCATGGAAAGCAAATGGCTTTTGAAACTAATTTCTCTGTGAAATAGAAAAGCAGCAGCAGAGAGTGAGGGAAACATTCATCTTCGCCATCTCTGTTCATCGCTGCTCTTGCCAGCTGTGCTGGGCTTCTTTTCCAGGGGCTTTGGAACTAACTGCTCTGTGAAGAGCAGCAGCATGCCATCTGCTCAGGTCTGTGTATGTGTGTGTGTCACCTGGTACCTCTTGAGCCTTACCTGCCTTGGCACAAGTAATGAGATGCTGTCAAATTCCAAAAAGACCCCAGAAGACCAAAGCCACAATCTGTAAAGCCAACATTATTCAGCTCCTTTAAAAGGACTTATAGGAGGGTCAGATCACCAGGTTATTTCTCATGGGCATGTAAGTAGCCCATTTACATCCTTACTGGTCACAATAAAAACTTTATAGCATTAATTGCTATCTGAGCCCAATCATTCTCTTCTTTCCTCCCCATCTCTCTTTCTTTTCCTGTGGTAACTTTTTTATTATAATCAAGAGGATAGGTACTGTGTTGTCTTTTTTTAAAAAAAAGATCTGTAAGCTGCTCTAGAGTGTTTTCACATAAAGAGCAGGGTAAAATTGCTTCCAGAGCACATTTGTACATTATGTTAAAATGATGAGAAGAGAAAAATACATTAAACACAGGTCTAGGCTCAGTCAATTGAATCCTGGAACAAAACCCACTAACTCCAGAAGATACATTGCTACTTGAATATGTTTGGGCTGTTTGTATTTTTAATTAGCGCGCGCGCACACACACACACACTTCTTTACATTTATTCTTCATTATGTGTGCATCTGCGTGTGTGGGCTGTCAACACATTACAGAACTGTAGCCAATTAATCCTTTGTAACTGATTAATCATTTCATTTCTATACACATACAGAGAGCACCAGAAAGCATGTTCTTCAAGTGGTCATCTGTGCATTCACACAGATGGACTCTGCACCTACATGGAGTTTGCTTCAGGAAGATTCTATAGTTAAGATGTGTTTGGAGGGAACCTGACCCTTGGCCTGGCCCTGACATGTGGGAGGGCTTCCTGCCCAATCCTCAGTTTAACTGAAATGAGACCAGCTTCATGGCCCCATGCTGAGGAAGGGCGGGGGGACCTTAACCTAGGTAGGGACTGCTGTGCCTTCAACAGGCAACATCGAAGAGGAGGAGGAGGTCAGGTTGTGTGAATGCACAGATGACCACTTGAAGAACAGTTACAGGTAATCAACCACACTTTCTTCTTCATGGTCCCTGTACATCACACATATGGGCAACTGGTGAGCTTATCTCCTGGAGGTAGGCAGTGTTGTTACTGTAGGAGTGAAAATAGAACTGCCCTGCCAAAGTGCAGTCCATTCTGAGGCATATGATGAGATGGTGGTGCAAGTCAGAAGGGGCCTCCCAGGCCATCTAGTCTGACCCCTGGCTCCAGCCAGCTCTGCTCATGACATGCCTACCATGGATAGACCTGGTGCTGCCCTGCTTGTTTATGTAGAACATGACAGCTACATGTGTTGTCACAGGCAATGTGGAAGTGGTGGCCTTGGAGGAGGTTCTGGAATGCTATACAGGCTTTCTGTACTGCAAGCATGTCCAGATAATTTGTGTGTGTGTTGGAATCAGATCCACTCCATTTTCCTTGGATAGTTAAGCAGTGGGCTCCCCAGTGGGCTGGAGAGGGAAATGTCCGTGATTGTTATCAGGCTCAGTTCCAGGGTGGCAAAGGAAGTTCCTTTGGAGAAGGTGTGGTGCTGGGTTCATCACCAGAGGCCTTGCTGAATGCTTCTGGGGACTCTCAGCCTAATTCTACACAAGCCTGAAGCAGGATTGAATGAGTTGATGAATCAGAGTCACAAGTCAAAACTGTAGCTGCCATGAAACCAAGGAACTTCTGGATCCAAGAAGTGGTAGCAGTCTGGTGACCAAGAAGTTTGAATGCCTCTCTGAACGGTATGGACCAATGCCTGGGACTCAAGTCAAGTGACTTGTTCCTAAGTCTGACTCAAGTTGGAAAGCCAGTGTGGTGTAGTGGTTAAGAGCCTGGGACTGGGACTCAGAGGATCTGGGTTCTAGTCCCTGCTCAGCCATGGAGCCAACTGGGTGACTCTGGCCCAGTCACAGCCTCTCAGCCCAACCTACCTCACAGGGCTGTTGTTGTGGGGATAAGATGGAGGAGGAGAGATGATGTAAGCTGCTTTGAGTCCTTTGTAGGAAAACGGCAGGATATAAATCTCAATATAAATAAATAAAATAAAGTTGTATCAGCAACTCAATTTGGACTTGACTCAGAAGCAATGAGCAAGAGACTTGACTCGACTTGAGATTTCTGTTGTTCTTATGACTGAGTTGATTTTGGCATGAGGGAAAAGGTGGAAGGGACAAGGGGCAGGAGCAGGGGGAGAGGGGTTGTGATATGGGTAGTCCCTGGTTACATACTTACATGTAAACTGCCATAAACCCTATATATCTACCAGAAGCCGTCAATATCTCTAGGGA